GAGAATTCCCAAGCAATGAAAACATATTACACATCACATAGGTAATTTAGTTACTAATATTCATTAAAAAGAATAGACAATGGACGGTGTGCCAGATAGAACTTATGGACTACTTTTCAGAACAAGGTATTGGATAAACCTTTGTCTAACAGATTCAATTTAAGAATGGATTGGAGATGGATGGTTAGAATAGATTGGGGATAAGTGTTATTTAAGTTCAAGTAACCCAGGATGAAGGCGTAAAAATCTAAACCCTTCAAAGTCGTTATAACCGATTTCGATATACCTATACATTGGTATTTCACACCTAGCAGTTTTAACTTCGGTAGGAAAATAGGGAATTTTTCATATATTCATATATACTCAATCTTTAAAATATTTAATTTGCTATCTAACAATCTAACGTATTTAAACGGATGCATAGATTATATGATTATATTTATTCTTTGGTTCAAGAATTCATGTCCTTAAGTTAAAACACGTTGTTAAGAAACAACCTGTATATATTCAAATAATATAATAAATATATACACCTTGTATATATTTCACTAATTTAATAAATATATACACCCTGTATATATTTAAATAATTTAATAAAGGAATTATTTAAACTCAATTGTATTAAATTTTATTTAATACAAATAACTTATATATTATAAAATAATACAAATTAAATAATTTACAAATTAATATTATTAGTTTTGTAAGATTTTAAAACTTATTGATAGGCTTTAAATAAAAGCGATTCAATAGATTCATATTATTAAATAAAAAGAGACCAAAAAAAAAATTAATACATATTAGATATAAAACAATATTAGATGATTAAATTTGTAATAATTTTTAATTATATAAAAATTATTTTTGTTATGAAAATTTCTTTACATTTGATTTTCTTATTAGAATGCGTGAATTTTTCCTATTCACACTTATTCTAATTCAAATTACAAATCTTAACTTCAACTGACTTTAACACCCTTAAACGGATTATCGTATTCTTTTAAGTATCATTAATAGTTACAGTATGGCTTAAGATAAATAATTACATGCCTTCAATATATTGTGGTATCATATTTCACAATCTTGTGGCATCTTTCAACATGATCACAACCAATCAAGTAAGTAGCCAACTACTTAATGGACGTGTAATGCCAGTAGCATCGGCACCATGTGTACGTGTATGTGCTTATGTTGCGTACCATTCTTTTGCTCTAATATACGCTTAAAAACTAACTGTACTCTTTACGTAGAATAAGAAAAATGGCGTTGATATTAACAAAAAGAAAAATAAAACCTAAAAAAAATTTTATAAATCATAATTACTCACCTTTTAAAATTTTGCTTTGAAGAATTGCCCAAATTGCTTGAAGACGATAACATTAAAAAGCGGAGGCACCAGTTTCTCTTTACACAAAAAAATTCAACTAAATCGGTATAAAATCAAACCAGTTAAGCTGGCCAGACAAATTCCAAAATTGAACACAGTTTCACAGTCCGCACACAAGACTTTTAACTTTTAATTCTGTTCACTTGTTTATAACAACAAAAACAACAACAACGGCGAGAAAAAGCGTAACCAAAAACAAAACAAATTAAGAACTGTAATTTGCATACCCAGCAGAAGACGCTGGAAAATTTAAATTGACCAGCAATTTAATGTCATTCAATTTACTGCCGTGTATTTGCTTCTTCGCATTATCTTAGCTTCACATGTAATATAAGAAAATAATTTTTAAATTTTTCTTTTAATACCGATTTTGTAAAGGACGTAAATAAAACCGTAAAAAAGTCTTTAAGATTATTTACATCGCCATTAATGTTGGTAGCTTCTTGTATTGAGCATTTTTCTTAAAAGCGTTTCAATTGTTCAAATTGCTCGCAATTAATAAAATTTTAAATAATATTAAATTTTCTTTAATTACTTATTTTATAAATTATTTCAAAATATATAACTAAAATAATTTAATAAGAAATTAAAATGTGATCAAAATAGCAGCAACCACCATTAACACAAGAAATTCAATTTCAAACTGAAATGCCACCAAAGGAAAATTGAAATTTTGTGTTACTTTTGCTCACATTTCGTTTTACATGAATTGTGAAAAAGAAAAACAGCAAAAATGAAACTGTGTTTCAAAACGCAAACGTTTCATGAGCATACAAAATGTACACACGACAAAGATGTTAGAAGTTATTCTTTTTAATAAAATTCAATATAATTTAATAAGAAATTCAATTTCAAATTAAATGCCACCAAAGGTAAATTGAATTTTTATGTTATTTTTGACACATTTTTGTCGTGAAAAAGAAAAACAGCAAAAATGAAACTGTGTTTCAAAACGCAAACGTTTCTTATACCTAAAAAATGTATACACGAGAAAAAAGTTAGAATTTATTCTTTATAATAAAATTGCTTTATTATATTATAATAATATAAACATATTAATAATAATACAGATTTTATAAATGAGTTAGTAATTTACTAAAAAATTATAATTGACAATTATAATTGAGAATAAATTCAATTATATTTTATATATCTGGCAAATATCAAAAGACAGCTGTAAAGTTTCGACTTCATCAAACTTGATATATACGATGCTACATGTATGCACGACAGTGTATCCAAATCGCATTGTGTATATTCAAGTATGAATACCAAATTTCAGGGTGCGAGTAAAATATACACCTTGTTTAAAGGTGTATAGAGAAGCGCATAATTGGTCTTTATACTTGGTGTGCATACATGTAGCATCGTCTATAGATGCTTCAGATGTTTGGTTAGCTTTTGCAAGTAATTGAAATAGTGCAGTTTAGTGATTATTTATAAAATGGAAAAATTGAATACCGATCAGTAATGAAATTTCCCCATTTCATATGAGAAATATTTTTTACTTTTTACAATTATAAATTTTTTGTTCTACTGTGAAATAAATTTTTTTAGGTTATTAATTTTTATACAACGATTATTTTTAAATGAATTAGCTCATTAGCTTATTTAAATAAATGTCGTTTTTTATTTTCCATAAGCTCCGCAGTGTTTCCTTTTTATTACTTTTGTTTATCTTCTGTTTTATTGAAATATTTCCATCATTATTTATAATTATTGTATTTACTTTTTATCCACGAAAATATGTATAATTTAAAATTTTTAAATGAAAATAATACTTTTATAAATTTTATTAATTTCTATATTTTTTTGTAAATATTGTAATATTTTGTAATTAAAATACTTTAATTGTTTATACGTATTTGTTTTAATACCGGACACCAGGTAATTTTTTTGTTTTATATTAAAGTTGTTATTTACATATATTTTATATTATTTAAAGTCATATAATATACAATACATTTCAGTTTAATTACTTTAAATTCACTAATTTAAATAAATTAATTGCAAATTAATTCAAACTATAAATACTTTACATAAAACTTTTTATAAATTTGGACTTTGTTTATTTCACAAATTGTTGTTTTTATGTGTAGAATTCAATTTATATTAATATACAATTTTTTTTTAAAATGTCAACATATATTTTCTTAAATTGGTCGCAAAATAATTAAAACTATAAATTCTTTTCTTAAATTTAGACTGAGTTTTTTTCACATATTGTTACAATAACAAGTAAAATAACCAGTAAAATTTAATTTATGTTAACCTATAATATTTTTTAAATTTTTATTTAAGTATGCAATTGTTAATATGTTCCAAATAGAATACGATTAGTATTTCAATTCTTTAACGAAAAACTGTTACATCTAGTGACAATGGCGAATTTTTTTTCTTTTTTATATAAAATTGTAATGGCAAACAAATAGAGACAAACCAAAACAAATGCTTTAATAAAAATAAGTTCCTAGCGGCATCTGTGCTCTGTGTTGTGGATTTCGCTCTCGAAGTTAGACGTGCCTTTTGAACGTGCTGCAGAGCTGCTGCGTTGCGGTTGGCTTTAAATAATAATAGAAAAGTAAAGTGTTCCAAATATAAAACTAATTACGAATAATGTGTCATAAAATATATTACTTATGAAAAGCTTAAGTTAAATTCAAAAATTTTATTATACACGATTGTGTTAAGTGAATGAAAAATTGCAAAGCAAAAGTTTTCGCAAGTTTTTAAAAGTTTGATAGACATAAGAATTTCAGACATCGCATGGCATTCATTATATGAAAAATGAAAATATATTTATTTCTAAGATTTTTCAAAAATTTTCATTTTTGAAATCTTCTGTTTGTGTTGTTGTTGTTGTTGTATTTAATTTTGTCAGATACATTGCGTAGAATTTCCGTCTATTTCGTGTATAGTGAATTTATTTTTGGAGCTAGCAAGAAAATTATAAGACCAAAAAATAAGAAGAAAAAAATAAATAATAAAGAATTCTTTTTAGTAGCATTTGTGTAGATTTTCAAATACTTGTATTCGTCTCTGTGGTATCTAAATTTATATCAACAAAATGTTCAAAGGAAAATCTTCGAAGTAAAATACATTGAACTATGTTTGATGTGGCTAGACGTATGGGGATAAAATCGGTGCGGGACGTGCGTACACAAAGTCTGAGCGCGCAAAATTTTGGGTTAATCTTTTCCTTATATTCTTCCTTATATCGTATTTTATTGCAATTCTCTGGAGGCGCTAATGTGGGGCGACATTGTTTTCTATTCATTATGAGGTTTATATATTCTATTATATAATATCAACAGTTCTGCTTTATGAGAACAATTGATAAGAAATAATTAATGGATTATTTTTATCGCCAAAAGTGTCCAATTTACTTATGACCGACTAAATTCAACATTGATTTTTATTATTTAATACAAAAAAATTTAGTTGATTAAATTTATTAGCCCTATTTTCATAATAAAATTTAATTTCACAGCTAAAATAAATTATTTTGGGATTAAAGAGTTTATTATCAAATAAAAATGTAGTAATTTTTGCGTTTATTATGTCTAGATTTTTAATTTATAAATACATAGTTAATAATATATACATTTGCTTAATAAAAAATATACTTATTTAATAATATTTACATATATATTTAATTAAACATATATATGTTTAATTAATAATATATACATATTTAATATAATATGTATAAATTAAACTAATATATATATATATATATATATACATATGTATTTAATTAATAGTAGTTCATTTCCGCAGCGATAACATTTTTTATTTGTAAAATTTTTTGTTTATTTTTAATGATTGTCTTTTAAAACCAACCAATTTTTTTACAATCTAAAAAAGAAGAGATTCTAAATTAAATTCCAAATATTTAGTTTTTACTAAAAGTTAAATTAAGATTATTTAGTAATTGTTTCTTTGTCTGCTTTTATTAAAATTATTTGTTTTTCTACTTATTTAATTTGAAAATAATTCAATTTGGTCTTTTCCTCTCATTCTCCTACATCTATTTGACTCTCTCTCTCTTTCCCGCTATTCCTTTCTCTCTTCCTCTCTCTACCTCTCCCTCTATTCATCGCTCACTTCTTCTATTTCTCAATTTCCTTTTATTTTTTTTACTCCTATTTTTCTCTCTCGCTCTATTCCTATCTTCCCATATATTCCTCTCTTTCTTCCTCTATTCCTCTCTCTCTCCCTCTAATTGTATCTCTAATTTTTAATATCCTTTTATTACCTCTTCTCAAGAGAGAAACTTGTTTTAATTTTTTTTGCTCTTAATGATGCCAGTTAAGAATTTTTAGTTTATTTTGTTATATCTTAGTCTTTATTTTCTTTCATTATTTCTGTTTCACACTGACTTTCTCTCAGAGTATCTATATGCATCTCTTGTTTTTTTTTTTGCTTTCCTTTGTTTTCCTTTAGATCTCTCTATCCAAATTTAAAACTTGATCGAAGAGACTAAGTAATGAGAAGTCCATGACAATTTACATAACATGTACCGAAATAGGTCTAGTGGATTATACCAATAGATATTGTTCATTTTCGATCGGTAAATCTACAGGCAAATTTATAACACTCAAGATTAATTTATAACATTTTAGATATTTTATCATGGTAGAAAGATTACCCTGGAATTAATTTTTTTATGTGACTTGACAAATAAATTGTGAATTGATTGGATATATATATTTATGAAAAAAATGAAGGTCTACTAGCATTACTCCAAAAATGCTCCATTGCTCTAAAAGTGTGTGACTGGCAAGAAAATTTGACAGATTAAGAGTAAACCGAGATTGAATCTAGGTTTATCAATCGAAAACGTCATTAGATATATCTATACCTTCCATTTATATAAGTTAGCTAATGAGATTTTTTTCAGTTAGAACATAATAGATCCCACATGTTATAGTTTACTATTGCGTCTTCTAATAAAGATAATGATGTTAATGATATAAACATACAATTTAGTTAAAAATTTTTAGAAGTTAAAAAATGGACTTTGATATTATTTTCGTGATGTTTTAAGTATTTAATGATATATACCTATATTAGCTCCAATCTGTTTTTTGTTTGGACTATATGGATAGTTTCATTAATATTGCATTTCACAGTGACGGGCTTATTTTGAAGAGATAGTGTAAGTTTATCCTCTCTATATATTGCAACAATCCACAGTGTTGAGAAATATTCTTTAAGTTGCTTACTTACGCCGTGTGCGAGTTTGACTAAATTGAGATAAAGTAAATTGAAATTTCCTAGGGATTTTTTGCAACGCACTTATGTAAATATTTGTTTATTGCACTTATTTATTATTTTTGGTTAAAAGTTTTCGCATTTAATAAATATTAAAGATCTTATAAAATTTTCTCAATGGTAACACCTAATTTACCTAATTCGTATCTAATAGGGTAGGGTAAACTCGAAATTCTGGTAAATACCAATATTCGCTGCCATACCGACATAATTTACTATTTCCCTCAATTTACCATCAATTTACTTGAATTCGTACACGGCCCTAATAAAGTGGCAGAAAGTAGGTTACACTTTCTTCTATATGAGATTAAAATTGTTTTCGTTTTCTTTTAGATTTTATTACTACTTCACGATTTTAAATCTTAAAAAAAATATTTTATTACTTTATTTGTAGTCATATAATAAATGTTTTACAAACTAAGCTTTATTATCTAAAACCCTTATCATACAAAATAAAACATTTCAATTTACAGATAGCAAGTCATCTTCCAAATAGTTTAATAGAAAAATAGGTTTATTTTTTTTCTTTTATATTGTTTAGAATATACGTAATCGATTTTTTAACCACTTAAGCCAGAAATGCATACTTTCATTTCATTTATATGCATGCCATATAAAAGCAACTAAATTGATCCAATAATTATTATTTTCATTAATATGGCGCAGTCATGCAACAAATTCTGTGATTACACATATTTGTACATTTATATTAATAAAAAAATAAATATGTAGAGCTAATGATTGCATTCGAAGACAATTATTTATTATTATACTTGCTTCTTATTACTGCCACACCACATTTAAAATGGATCGCGAGCTCTCTAATAAATTGTTCCATTATATCTCTATAACTGTATGAAAGTTAGCCCCGTTTGATTAATAATAAATCTGGCATTAATCTAACGAAATCTGGTGGTATGTTTGTTGATGAGTTGTAACTTTTTGGGGGACTGTATTCGAATTTTCATTTCCGAGTTTAATGGTTTCTATTGCACTTGTGTGGAAGTCTTCCACACAAGTGATGTCTCACATCTGCTTTGTTACTATCCTAGGGGTGTCGATTAATCATGATAAGGACTGACGTTTTTTTCTTCGCAGTCTTTGTGGAATAGACACATTTCAGTTTTTTATAAGAGTTAGTTATTACTATTATATAGTCTAGCTAGTTTATAATATTTGAAGTATATAATATTCCAAATAAATACTTTTCAGTTAGTAATTAAACTAAAGATTAAAAAAGTCGTGTCTTTTGTTAAGTATAACAGCTGGGTATTTTGTATTAGTTCCATTTTTCAGTATATATTTGCAGAGTATGGTGTTAGGTCCTGAAAAAATCTGATCCATTTAGAGCAGTAGTCCTCAACCTTTTTTTGACCAAGGACCCCTATGGCATTTTTGTTTTTTAGTAGGAATCACAAAGTGTAAGAATAAGAAACTGTGTGATTATTTTAATATGCTATAAATATGCTTTATGTCTGCTATAATGTGTAATGAATTGTATAAGTGCATAGATACATTACATATATAGGCTATACAATTACTTGGTAATTTTTTGGGCTTATTTTCTAAGAAGTAAGGTCTCAGTGAACAAATACAAGCTATGTATCTATACTTGGTATATTTGATTCACGGGCCATTTTAAACCACCGGTTGGGAACCACTGTCTTAGAGTTATTGATCCTTTATAGGACCGATCAAATATTGCTATTACGTTGTAGCAAGGTAGCCTATTGTATTCGTCTAATTACTCTAGTTTTATGTTAAGATCTTATTGTTGCAAGGGAAGAATTCAGGGTGACTGTATTGATGTAACGAAGAAAGAATTAAGAATAATATAACATTTCTTTGGTTTATCAAGTTCCTTCGATTCTTATTCCTCAAACTCTGCCAAATTTAGAAATAATGTTGTTGTTGTAACCCATGGTTATCTATTAAGCAGATAACATAAAAGGAATTACAAAGATGTAAACATGGATTATGAAGTAGGTGAGTGATGGTAGTGTGACACGGAAGGGGATTGTTTAGGAGTAAGAATGGATTGGAAATGGGTGAACGAATGGATTCGAGTTGGGTGAACGAATGGATTCGAAATGGATGAACGAATGCATTCGAGATGAGTGAACGAATGGGTTCGAGATGGGTGACAAAGAGTTCAAAGGAGTTTAGATAGACGCAATCTTCTCAATTTAATGTAATCTTCCATTATTTGTTTTCAAACTAGTGTCGTGAAGTACAGAATGTATAATTATATATGTAATTCCCAACAATTTTGCTTACGTTTGCCAAATATTTTGTAGGTGACAACAATTTTTGCTAAGCAAATATAAATACAAGACAGTGGCATGCAAAAGTGAACGCAACAAGAAGCAATTAAGTTACCCACTAAAAAAAATAAATAATAAACATACATACAAACACAAGCGAAAATATCTACATATAAAAACATAAATATGTTAATGTGTTTTGCTTGTATATTTTGACAATATAATTTAAATTTAAGCAAAAATGTCTAAACAAACAAATATAATTCTGTTCTTCACAGTTTCAGATTTTTGTACGCATAGAAACTTAAACTAAAGCAGGATAAACGATATAAAATAGATCAACAATGGATCCTGAAGCATTTCTTGATATGGCCAATCAGGTCATAAAACTGAAGATGTTTCCATATTTCGACATAGCAAACAGTTTGCTAGCCGCGTTAGGAGTACGCGAGGATTTAGGACCAAATGCGCAATCTTTTTCCCGGAAACATCCTTTGGCATGTTGGTTGTCGACTATGTTGGTTGTATTCTCAAGTAGTATGGCTGCTAATGCTTTGCTAGGTGAACCTATTTTGGCTCCATTAAAAAATACTCCACAGCTTTTGGTCGGTACTGTTGTTTGGTAAATATATAAAAATAATATTTAAGTAATATTTAAATAACAATAATTTTTAATAAATTCTTATACTCAGGTATCTGGTTTTTTATACTCCATTCGATATTGGTTACAAAATTGGAAAATTCTTGCCTATAAAACTTGTTGCTAGTGCCATGAAGGAAATTTACCGCGCTAAGAAAGTCTATGATGGTGTATCTCATGCGGCTAAACTTTATCCGAACGCTTGGATAATTATGATAATAATTGGTACACTTAAAGGAAATGGCGCAGGCTTTACCAAATTGTTAGAGAGACTCATACGTGGCGCGTGGACACCAACAGCTATGGAATTTATGCAGCCTTCATTGTAAGTTAACTCTCTCATATTATAATAAAATTATTAATATTTATGTATATTTTTAGCTATACCAAAGCTTCGCTAGTTGCTTCAATAATTTTTGTCTTGGATAAGAAGACCGATTGGATTTCAGCACCACATGCTCTTGTCTATTTTGGCATTGTAATCTTCTTGGTTTACTTTAAGTTGTCATCTATACTGCTGGGCATACATGATCCTTTCTTGCCATTCGAGAATCTATGTTGTGCCATATTTTTCGGTGGTATATGGGATAGCCTTGCTAAAATTTTGGGCCGTGGACAAGCGAAGGAGGGAGATACAAAAGATGTTAAAAAGAATAACTAAACTATAACAATTGTTGTAGATATATGCGAAAATAACCGAAAGATCGAAAACGATATTAAACGATGTAAAGTATGAAAAAACGAAACGCAACACAGAGACTTTGATAAATTAATTTAATTTTGGAATAATTTTGTTAAATTTTTTATTTATTAAATAATATTATAAATATTATAAACTTTCTAGTCAAGTTAAAAGTTTGATAAGACAAAGTCCCTCTTGTTACTGGACAACTAGTGGGTGTGTTTGTCCATTAATAATAGTGACTTTTACCAATTTTAGGTTATTAATCCTTTTGATTTATTTATTATTTTAATGTAAAACGTACTGATATAAAGAGTAACATGTTAGTTATTTTAATACAAATGATGAACGAGTGGATTTAAACATTATACAATGTAAAATTTTTACAAAATATGACCATGCACTTTTTTCATGTATGAAGGTGTTAAATTCCCCATTTGCATGTAATATTATATTATGTAATATTAAAATTTTATAAATAAAATTGAAACCTTTGAGATACCATGATCAAGTTTATTTATTTATACATAAATATAAGAATTACTTTAAAATATAAGTTAAACCAATATTAAGAAATATTATGATTAAACGAAATTTAAAATGTCAGAAAAATTATTCGCAAAACCTGTATAATCAAATTTTTTGATCAAAGATCCAAAGATAAATGTGTCTGAGAATATCCACAAACCAGGACAAACAGATCTTAAAGGCACAGATATTCTCAAATCAGATCTTCAACATTTTTAAATCAAAACAGAATTTTTAAACTTTAAAAACTTTATTTAAACTGATTCCTTTAATAAACACTGAGGAGACCAATACACCGGTGTAGTCTGATTGTATAATCTCAAATAATGTTAAGTCAGATTTTTGATATTTTTAAATGAAAATTAAATTTTCAAGCTTTAAAATAGAGATTAGTTATTTTAATGTCTTATAAGATCTGTTTCCTACGAAAAGATCTGTCATGCTGCTCTATAATCGTTAAGCCAATCGAAGACCTCGTACCAACTGGAGAAGAACAATCCGGCATGAAACTAATAAATCATTTATCGAATTAAGATATTTACCATTAAATAGAAATACCTGGCGTTTCTGTATAAATAGTCTATGTTCCTGATGGAATACGGCTTTATAATATAAGATAAGATAATCTGAAATCAAATTTTTGATATTTTTAAATTAAAACTAAATTTTCATACTTTGAAATAAAGATTATTTGTATTTGGTAGTTATTATTGATAAAATTTTTATGTAGCTTTATACTACAACATCATACTATTAAAAATTTAAAAACTTTGTAAAATAATCGGGTTTATTTTTTTTTTTTGTAAGGCGAAGGACCTAACAGTCCAGTTCTTTATTCTCAGTTAACTTTAAAATTTTAATGTTTCGAATATTCCGGAGATATAATTAACTATTTACTTAAAATTAATGTTTATCTGATTTAAATATATAATAAAAATATATATTATAGTCATTATATATTCAAGTTTTTAGAGACATACTCATATAACAATAAATGTTTGCTTAGTATCGAACTTAATTTCTTATTTGTTTTTTTGCTGCGCTTCAGGTTGTTTTTTTTATTTATATTATTTAAAATTATGTAAAAGATATGTAAAGAAAAACATTAATTTTATTTTTAATTTCAAGAAAAATAATTATTTTTTTATAATAAATAGTTCGGTTCACTTCATAGATTATCTCAAGTTTTAATGAATTTTTTTTATTAATTTAACGTAATTCAAAAGATTACCAAAATTAATTCTGTTATTAAAAATTAAAACATTTCACTTAATTTTTACATAATTAAAATTTATTAATTTAATTTAATTTATACAGAAGAAATTTATCTGAAACTTATCGATAAAATTTTTTATGCAAATATGAAAAATATGCCAACCCTGTCGTTTTCATATTTTGACAGTTGATTTGGTATTATTTTTCGCTGGTAGGCATAAAAAAATATTTTGTTTACCGCTTAAAATTTGTGAAAAAATACTTAATAAAATAAAAAAAGTAATTGTGCAAAATGGAGCATGAATTTGAGGATGGTTGGCAAGGGAGACCAAGAGCTGCTGGCGAAGAAGAGGTAATTATATAGAATTTTTTCCGACTGCATCAAATTATTTGTTTTTGTTTTCGTTTAGGAGCCCCAAGACTTACAAGAAACCATTCAAGAATGTTTAGAAAAGTTTTTAACACCAGATTACATTATGGAACCTGGTATATTTTCACAATTGAAACGTTATTTTCAATCAGGTGGTTCACCAGAAGAGGTTATTGCTATGCTGTCCGAGAACTATAAAGCAGTAGCACAAATGGCAAATTTGCTGGCCGAATGGTTAATTATTGCCGGTGTGAAAGTAACAGATGTGCAAGCAATGGTTGAAAATCATTTAAAAGATATGGTATTGAAAACTTTCGACCCTAAAAAAGCTGATACTATATTTACGGAAGAAGGTGAAACTCCAGATTGGTTAACCGAAATGATTGATCATCCCACTTGGCGTTCGCTTATATATCGTTTAGCTGAAGAATATCCCGATTGTTTGATGTTAAATTTTACAATTAAAATTATTTCTGATGCTGGTTTTCAAAGTGAAATTACTTCCATATCTACAGCAGCACAACAAATTGAAGTTTTTTCACGAGTTTTGAAAACTTCAATAACAAAATTTTTAAACAATCCAGAAGACGTACAGGGCGCTATACAGGAGTGTG